TTGGCCTGGCTGGGCTCCGCTTATCCCTACGGGAAAGTCACTTCATCCGGAAAGTCTTTCCTGACTCCCTTAGACTACCACAGAACCTATCACATTCTGTGACTTTGAGCTATTTCAGCACCTGGCCCCAGGTGAGCTGGTGATATTTGCTGAGTGAATGCTTTTGGTTCCATTCCCATGTTTTTGTTTTTGTTTTTGTTTTTGTTTTTTTCTGGGTTCTTTCTAGAAGAAATTTTGCTTTTCTCTCTCTTTCTGAATTAAAATACATAACTCATGGAGTGCCTGGGTGGCTCAGTCAGTTAGGCAGCCAACTTCAGCTCAGGTCATGATCTCAGGGTTCATGAGTTCGAGCCCCGCATCGGGCTCTGTGCTGCCAGCTCAGAGCCTGGAGCCTGTTTCAGAATCTGTGTCTCCCTCTCTCTCTGCCCCTCCCCTGCCCCCGCTCTCTCTCTCAAAAATAAATATAAACATTAAAAGTTTTTTTAAATAGTAATAAATGAATAAATTTAAAAAAATACATAACTCATAAACCGTACCCATGGCAGACATGACATTATTAATCAGTCATGATACCGCTCTCTCCCTTCTAGTCTAGACACAGCCTCGGTGTTTTTCTTAACACGCTGTTCCAGGTCAGTCGGACGTGGTGCATGAAGTCACGCCTGTCTGTTCTCACTGTTTAGGGAGAAACTAAAGATGCAGAAGTGGAAGGGAATGATCTCCATCTCTCAGTTCTTGACATCCACTTTCTGGGGATGATTTTTCTTCCTTAAGATCTCTTATGTAATTAAATGGATGTTCAGAGAATCAGGCCTTACAGGTATCTGGTGCTCATTAAATAGTCTTAGGGGAAACCCCAGAAAGAGTGATTTCCCATCCCTTTGGTTCAGTGCTCGCTCTATTTGGGGGGGGGGGGACAGTGGCAGCCCAGAAGGACAGAATTATCTTCTTGTTATACAGCCAGAGAAACCGAGGCCCGAGAGGTTAGGTGACATGCCCAGGGTCACACAGCCAGGGGGTAACCAACCAGTGGAGCCCAGCCACAGCTCAGGTCAAACCAGAACTCGGGCCTCAGGCCTCAGGATTCCTTATGCAGCCGTCTTGGCCATGTGCCACTTGCTGTCTGGCAGACGAGAAACCCTCTTCTGCCCCGCGTGGAGCCACCTGCATGGCCCCTAAAGAGTCCAGGGGGCACAGTGACGGGTTCAAGAGTCCGGAACCACAAACCAGATATGCAGCTTTCCTCCCGGGTGTTTGCCTCCTAATTGGCCCTCCAAGCTGGGCCCCCCCGCAACCCTTGCTCATTTGAATGCAAATTTGAATGACTGGGATATAGAAGTCACCCAGTCATCCCAAACAGGTCAGCTTCTCCTGTAATTGGAACATGGCGTTAACCGCCTGGGAACCAGCCCACTTAACACCCCTTGGCCTGGGAGTAAGAAGTTCCCCTTGTTTGAGGGAAGTTATCTGCCCCAGGGCAACAAGTACCTTCTGGGACTCGGGACCACCTATCAGATCTCTGCGGTGTTTTAAAGCTAATATCGCAAGAAAGATGAGCAAGAAACTAGATTAAACCGTCTTACTATAGCAGGTTAGTTATTTTTTTTTTTTTAATTTTTTTTTTCAATGTTTATTTATTTTGGGGACAGAGAGAGACAGAGCATGAACGGGGGAGGGGCAGAGACAGAGGGAGACACAGAATTGGAAACAGGCTCCAGGCTCTGAGCCATCAGCCCAGAGCCCGACGCGGGGCTCGAACTCACAGACTGTGAGATCGTGACCTGGCTGAAGTCAGACGCTTAACCGACTGCGCCACCCAGGCGCCCCTAGTTATCATTTTGGTTGAGTGTCTGTTGAAGGCTGGATTCTGTAGGGACCGGACATAGACTGTGTGCCTGTGAGGGATGCTTTTAGAGGAAACTGTGTCCCTGTGGGAGGAAGAGGCCAAAAACACACTTTCTGCAATAGGGTTTTGCAATTTTGAAACTGCCAGGAGACTCTTAGTGGCTGGCAGTGCCTTTGCAGGTAGTGGGTGGGGGCCACCAGACTTGAGGAGCACCTACTGTGTGCCCGATGTCCTTCTGATGTGTCACGCTCATGATCTCACCTGGGGAAGAGCTGCGTGACCCCTGATGAAAGAGGCGCCGCTGACTCCCCTGTGTTAGCCGGTTGTGTCTGTAACAGCTGTGAGTTGGCTGCTTTTGAAGCTCAACCGGGAGAAGTCACTTTGAACTTGGGTCCGTTGTCTGCTGAAGGCCTTGCTCTGAAAATCGTAGGTAGATGAATGGGAAGAAACACGGGCCCTGGCGGCAGGCCGAGCCCACGCGAGCTTGAGTCCTGGTTCCACGGCGCCAAGGCCGTGTCCACGCCTAAGTTCATCCCCTCTCTGTCTAGGCCTCCAGCCCTGACTGGGCTTGGCCTCCCAAGAAGGATGGAGGTGACCTTCCCAAATGATTTTGGTGCTCAGCGCCCAGAATCGCTTCATCTTTGCCCAGATAGGACGGATGGCCTCAGGCCTTCAGACACTGCCACACAGCCCTTGGGAAAGAAACAAAGATTTCCAGAAAGAAGCTGTCTCTCCATCTGTGGGTCTGGTGACCGACGGCCAGGGCTTGGGACCAGCTGCTGGTCTGAGACTGCTCCAGCACCCTCATTTATAATATCCAAAGACCAGCGCGGAGCACAGACCACCGGTGCCCGCCTGCTTTGTCCTCCAGTGACTGCGAGTAGATCCTCCTCGTCCCCATGTTCAGAAAAGTCTGGCCCTGAGGTCAAGGACTGAAGTCTGGCTTCTGCTCCCGGACGGACTCAAATGGAGAAGTAGGAGGGAAAGTGTCCACTCTGTCTCTTGCTAGCTCATCCAGGCCTGCCTCACCTCCAGCACAGGGCTGCTTGGAGGAACAGTGCCCCATTGCGAATCCCTCAGGGGCAGAGGTCGGGCCCTCCCGGGGCCCAGCAGTGCATCCAGCAGAGCGGAGCTGTCCAGAGGTGTCGACCTGAAAGGGAATGAATGGGAAGAGCGAGTGACAGAGGGCTTTGTAAAATATAACGCACGACCCTGATCACAGCCAGCGTGACTCCTGTCTTGAGTGGCGCCCACGTGCCGAGCTTTGAACGAGCCTCTGTCTCATTTCTAAGCCTTCTAATGACCTTACGAATTCGGAAGGAGTAGCAGCATTTTACAGAAGAAGAAACCGAGGTTCCGAGTGGGGAAGGGAGTTGACCAGGTCGGCACAGCTGGGAAGTGGTCCACGGAGCTGAGAAGTGGGCTGGCCCTGTGATAAGGGAGGGCAGCACTCAAAGACCCGGGAGGTCTTACTCAGGGCAGAAGTAGTTTCTGGTCCTTCCCCGCTGTTTGGGAGTGGGGGAGGGGAATGCTAGGAAATCCCCATCTGGCCGAGCAGCGCTGGTTTCAGTGAGCCACCCGGAGGGGCTCTGGTCTTAGGTTTCATTGTTTCAGTTTAAAAACCGCCTGGGTGGATGTTCACTCCTTTTGTTGCTTTCTTACAGTGTTACTTGTATCGGGGGCTTTTTTTTTTTTTTTTGGTTAGCGTGTTAACTGTATCTGAGCTTTTAAGTCATTACAGCTGATCCGCCCTCTCCAGGGTCCTATAAAAACCAGCCAGCTCACACTTTCCTGTGCTCGGAAGTGATTCATTTTCTGCCGTGCTGTTCCCCCAAGTTCCCTCACTCCACTCTCGTCTGAGAGCCCGTTTTTTTTTTTTTTTTTTAATGGTCTGGAGTACATTCGAAGTCCTTATTTTATGACAGGAGGTTTCCTGCTAATTGTATCCATATCCATCAGTAGGCCCCACTTTCTCTCCTCCCTCCCTTACTCTCTTTCTTCTGTGATTTCTCAGTCATTGGGAGCCTTCTTCTCTGGATTTCCTCTCTGAAGAAAAGCTTTGTCTGTTGAGAAAGATGAAAATGAGGTTATAAATAATAATAATAAGCATAAAGAATAGTTTCTTTTTTCCTGAGCATTTACTAGGTGCTAGAGACCGTGCAAAGCCCTTTAAACAACACCTCATTTAAACCTCCCGGCGACCCGGTGAGGTGAGGGTCCGTTGTCGGCCTCATTTTACAAATGAGGAAGCCGCGGCTCAGAGAGGTTAACTGATTTCTCCCAGGCCACACAGCAAGTAGAGAAAAATGAGTTTCCCAGCCACATCCCTACTTCAGGGGTGGCTTTTGTTGAAGGGGACAACTGTGGACAAAGGGAGTTGGCATGCCATAGGGGTGATTTTTAATTTATAACCAGTGTTGTGGATTGGTTTTCTTTTGTTTTTAAATATTTATTTTTGAGACAGTGGGGCAGGGCAGAGAGAGAGAGAGAGAGAGAGAGAGAGATGGAAGAACCAAAGTGGGCTCTGCACTGACAGCAGAGAGCCCGACACGGGGCTCAAGTCCACGACCCATGAGATCGTGACCTGAGCTGAAATCAAAGAGTCAGGCGCTTAACCCTCTGGGCCACCCGGGTGCCACAGGATTGTTTTGTAAACATCCTTTCCTCTTTAGACAGTAAAAATTTTAAAAACGACAATTCACAGAACAATAAAATGCCTTATCTCGAGAAGTCTTAGTTTTACGAAGGTGGGCATTCTCAAAGCAGGCCTTAGTATAGACTGAGCTGTCACACACACACACCACATGCCTGTGGATTAATAAATGATTCACTTCCATGAGCTGTAATTTGAGTGCCTCCCATTATGGTCCTTGAAAACCCAGGACCTGTAAAGTTAATCTGCCCCGTATCTTTAACAACGGAACCTAATTATCCAGCTACTGAAAAAAAAAAAAAAATTGAATTTGAAATAGAACCTTCATGGGGCGCCTGGGTGGCGCAGTCGGTTAAGCATCCGACTTCGGCTCAGGTCACGATCTCGCGGTCCGGGAGTTCGAGCCCCGTGTCGGGCTCTGGGCTGCCAGCTCAGAGTCTGGAGCCTGTTTCCGATTCTGTGTCTCCCTCTCTCTCTGCCCCTCCCCCGCTCATGCTCTGTCTCTCCCTATCTCAAAAATAAATAAAAACGTTTAAAAAAAAAAATGAAATAGAACCTTCCTAAACCAGGTTCCTAGCATCAATGACACAGGCATCCTGTTCTTCCTTTTTGAAGTAAGTATTGGTTGGGGTCAGGGTTTCCATCCTGAATCACACAGGCTGAAAGCAAAGCCTTGTGTCTAAGAAGAGGAGTGCTTTTTATTCCTCTGCCAAAATTATTCCTGAGATGGAATGAGAGGGGGGTCCAGGCAGGGCAGTTCAGTCGCCCCGTTGCCCAGTGCCTGGCAGGTGTCGTGGGGAAGCTTGCATTTGTGTGCTGTGGTCGTGCTCAGAGCGTTCATAACCACTGTCGCTTTCCAACCACGTTGAAGCTGGAAAAAGCAGGAACGAGTCCGATTCTGGGTGGCATATGGTGACCGATGGCTTGTGGGGCATTCTGCTCTCTGGGCAACCTCCTTCATCTGAACCCTGGCGGATCCCAGGTAGGAGGTTGTCCAGCCAGAATCGTCACGGAGGTCCTGCACAAAATGCTTGACCTTGATGCTGACCCCCTTCGTTATTTGTTTCCCAAGTATCTGGCAGAATGAAAGCGCTACAGCAAAAGCAGGAGGGAGTGGTGCTCCTTGCCCGTCAAGAACAATTTCTTTTCGATTAGGCAACATGGTCCTGAAAACCTGAAAATGCCACGTAGAGCCACTTAGTGAAGGGTTCAGGGGGTCTGTGAGGTTACTGGCTCACACCTTTATCATAATTCCTATCATCGATGATGGCCCTATTTAGAAAACCGTGCGTGGCTTGGTATACGAAAGCAGGGACATTTGTGTTACATTTTGATTTGTTTCATCCAGAGTGGTTGAACTAGAGAAGGTTGGGGCATTCGTTACATTAGACAGCTAAAAAAATATTTCGCCGTTTTAATTTTATCTTCTTTTTATTGTCAAGGTAAGACATTTTGTTGTTGTTCTATGTTATGCCATTTTTCTATCAGGTTTGGCTGTTTCTTATTGATTTATCAGACCTCTTTACATATTAAGGATAATTATCTTTAGTCTATGGTTTGTTTCACAGACCAGCCCTCCGACCATCAGTTTGTTTGCCTGTGATTGGTGATGGGATATCTCCTCATGCCCCATGTAAGAGGTTTCTGGGTTTTGTAATGAGCTTTGTGGTATTTTCCTTATGCCTTCTGGATTGAGTTAGCATGCTTAGAAAAACCTTCCACACCGAACAGAAGTGGCCATTTGCCACATATTCCAGATAACCAAGGCTTATCTGTATTTAGAATCTGTGCCCATTAGGAGTGGTCCTATGGAGTAAGACGTTGGAGTTCTAGCTTATTCTTTCCTTTCCTCTTTCTTTCTTTCTTTCTTTCTTTCTTTCTTTCTTTCTTTCTCTTTCTTTCTTTCATTCTTTCACAGAGAAAGAAACTCTCACAACTTTCACAACTTCCTTTCTCCCTGGAGGTAAGATGAGGAACTAGGAAACCATCCAAACCCCCTCCCTCCCTTTTGGCAGAGGGCTTCTGGATGGCATTTTAAAGAGTCTGTTTGCTGACAACAATAAAAACCAACTTGGAGGTATATCTGCAAAACTGGTAAAACAAGAAAGGTAATTTTGGGGCACGGCTACATTCTGTAGGAAAGGTAAGGCTGGGTAGTGTCACAGTCTGCCCAGAGCAGGGGCCAGCTTGAGTTTAAACTATTCAAAAGGCCACCATGTGCTTGGCGATTAAAATCATCTTCTGGTTTTCCTGTCAGAGTACTCTCCTTTTTGGTGAGTTCACCTGGCTGGAAACATTCTAGAAAGAAAGGTGAGGGAGAAGTGGAACAGGCCTGGTTCTGTAATTACGTCTGAGTGCCTGGCTTCCTCTTTGTGACCCTAGGCAAGTCCCTTGGCTTTTCTGGGCCTGGCGGCCTTGGACGGCACCAAAGACAGACAAGCCCGGAACTTTCAGCAGGTCATATTGAAGCAGGTTTCAGCCTCAACTGCACCTGCACACGGCACCTGTGGGCTGCGGACAGTGAGGGACCTGAGCCTGGCACGGTTAAGTCACTTGTCCAAAGTCACAGACCTGGGACCTGAACCCAGACTAGCAGACCTCAGAGCACCACACCGCCTCCTCCCTGCTCCCAGGTGCTCCGAAACTGACCCCGACGTGCGCGTCTGTGTGTGCACAGAGATGCCTCTCCTGCTGGAAGTGGACTCTGGGGTCAGCCTCCCCACCTCTCTCTCCTGGGGTCCGCCCACCCCCCCACCCCCACCCCCCGCCGTCCCTCTCAGCTCGTCCTCTGCTCCCTGCTCCAGAAGTACACTTAGGCCCTGCATCTCTGCCCTCCCTGGTGGAGCAGAAGCTGTGTCCCTGCGTGGTGGCCACGGCACACAATAGCCACTGCTCCCAGGGCCCGGCTCCTGCTGACCACAGCGGCCTCGTGACCCGCATAGCGCACTGTCAGGAGAACGTGAAACAAAAAGCCTTTCTCCCTGCCACCGGGGCAGGACTGCTCAGAAACTGCACAAGAGCTCTTTTCAGAGCCGAGGAGGCCAGATAACATTTTTCTGCGTCTCTGAAATGCATGCTCAGTGACCTGTGTCACTGGGACAGGCCGGTAAACTGCCCATGCTTGGTTGGCAATGACTGGTTCCGGAGCCCCGGGTCTGTACGTTCTCCCATGGAAGGTTCTCCTCGACTCGGCCCGTAGCGGGGAAAGCGATCACACGCAGACCGAGCGCTCAGTTGGCACGTATGATGCCTCCCCACGTCGCGCGTTCCCCCAGGGCCTGTCTTCCTACATTCTCCTTTATCAGAGAAACTGGGGCCCCATCCCCTCCCCGTATTCTCCGCCATCTTGGTGGTATGGGTGCCTCTAGAACCATGCGTCGGGTCAATCGGCACCACCAGTGGGTGGATAGAAAGTGGGACTGGAGGGAAGTTTCCACCGTCGGGCCACTCATTCGTGCCACGCATGCTGGGCACAGGGGGCACAGGGCGGGGGGGAGGGGGGGACCCAGGTGACCAGGTCCCTGCCCTCTCAGAGCTCAAGTCCAAGGGGGAGATGGGTGGTAAATAGAATGACACGTGGAACCACAAGCACCGTGAAACGGACTCAGAAAAAAAGTAAAAGGAAAAAATACGACTTTATGAGCAAAAAAACCCCCACAAAAAACACAAGCCCTGACTTTTCCCCCAGCATGTTAAATGCGACAGCTTTTTTCCTAATTTTTAAATGTTTATTTATTTTTTTTGAGAGAGAGAGAGAGAGACAGACACAGAGTACAAGCAGGGGAGGGGCAGAGAGAGAGGGAGACACAATCCAAAGCAGGCTCCAGGCTCTGCGCTGTCAGCACTCAGCCTGATGTGGGGCTCAAACCCACGGAACCGTGAGATTACCACCTGATCCAAAGTCGGACGCTTAACGCACTGAGCCACCCAGGTGCCCCGACAATTTTCAAACATAAGGTAAAATTGAAAGAATTTTACAGTGAATATTTGCACACCCACCACCTGCATTCTGCCATTAATATTTTACTGCACCTGTTTTTCCATCCATCAGTTCACCCTGTATCTTTGGACATTATGCATTTTTGGAGGATGAGGACATGAAGCCATCAGCCAGAACTGAGGAGCAGTCAGTCCCCATGCAGCACATCCAGGGGACCCGCCTGGCCCCCGTGAGGGTCAGCATTGGTGACCCCTGGCTGCACAGTCAAGAGGGAACAGTCACTGTGACTGGCTTGCTTGCATTACTATTTAAGTCCAGAATGCCTCGTCCTTTGCGGCAGCCGGTAGTAACCTGCTCCAGGGTTAGCAAATTCCACGACCGTCCCTGCTGGATGAAGTCAGTGGTGCGTCAGGCAAGATGAAAGATTGGGATGGGGTAGTTTGGGAGGCCCGAGTGCTCAGGATTAAGTGGGGCAGGCCGACTGGACCCCCAGCCCAGCACCCGGGAGCCGCCCCTGCACGGCCCCGTGGAAGGAGGTCTGGCCCCACAGGCACGGGAGAGAAGCCCAGTGGATGACAGAAGGCTGGCCAATCAGCCCGAGGATTCCGTGCCTGAAGCCTGCCCTGGGCCTGATGAGGGGCCTCAGGAAGGCAGAGGATAGAGGGATGTGGATACAGGCCAAGCGTGTTCCCGTCGGACAGAGATTCCGCAGGGCCCCGTGGCTTCTGAGCACAGCTGGCTGACGTTTGCAGGACCACGGAGCTTGAAGTCGTGAACGTGGTCAAAACCCATCTTACTGAGTGTTCGTGCACTGGGCACTCTGCTAAATGCGTCCAGTACGTGGTTTTTTAATTCCTGTGACAGTCCTATGAATTAAGTACTATTACTGCCCCATTTGACATGAGAGGAAACCGAGGCACCCAGGCGAGGAGACTTGCTCAACTGGGGTGTGGCCGGGGCAGGATTCAAACAAACCCCATCTGTCTGGATGCCTTCCCCACTTTCTTTCCACTGGCTTCTGGGGTATTTCATTTATAGTGTCTAAAGCTGTTTCCCCAATGCACCTCTTTTAACAGCTGTGCTTGGACTGTTCCAGATGGCTGGCCAGGTGTGCCGGGTCACCTTGGGTGGAATTCAGTCTGCAGCTGCCCCTCCCCCAAGCCTCTGCTCCCGTCCGGCCAAGGTGGCGTGCACACGGAGGCCCCTGCCTGACCTGCCGGGCGAGGAGAGTCTGGCATGTCCCTCCCGTGGGTACCCACGGTGGCCTGCTCGGGCGTCTGTGTCCCCGGGGCCCTGTGGTCTCTGGACACAGCAACGAGGGGGGGAAGAATGTGTTGGGGGAGCACAGCTGGCTTCAGGCTCTGAGGGTGAGGGTCGCGCTGAACCTGCTCACGAGGGAACCAGCCGTTCCCTGCGTGTTTCCTCCATGCCAAGTCCTCAGCAAGGGGCTCTGACCTGTGGGGTGTCTCAGGTCCTCACGACAGTGCCAGAGGGTCACAAAGGAGGGAAAGGAGGGGGGCTGGCTGCTCAGAGTCCCAGGCCCCGCCCACTTCGAGGTCCGCCTTTCATCGACTCAAAGGTGTCACTGGCGGGGCGCCTGGGTGGCTCAGTTGGTTAAGCGTCCAACTCTTGGTTTCTGCTCAGGTCACGGTCTCATGGTTCGTGAGTTTGAACCCGGAGTCTGGCTCTGTGCTGGCATAGTGCAGCCTGCTTGGGATTCTCTCTCTCGCTTCTTCTCTCGCTGCCCCTCCCCCACCCGTGCTCTCCCTCTCGCTCGCTCTCTCGCTCTCAAAATAAATAAACTTCAAAAACATAGACAAAAAACGGTGTCACCAGTAACACCAAGAAGGGAAAACCCCCTCCAATTAAGAACATTCCGATTCCAGACCTAAACAAAACGTGTGCCTTGGAGGTGGGTTCTTTCAAGTCCTGCCCGCGGCATCTCTGATCGGTCCTGCTGCCCCACTGGCTAGATGGGAAGGCTGAGGCCAGTGCCTGCAGAGCAGGGTGGAGGTTGAGCCCGAGTCCCTCACGCTGTGTTAAGTGACTGGGACCCCATTGCTGACGTGTTCTCCCGGGCTCTGAGGCTGGGTCTCCGAACCGTGGAGCCTCTGCGTCGCCAGTTTCTTTCTCTCTTTCAGGCTGGTGATGAGAAGGTCATTTAAAAAAATTTTTTTTAATGTTTATTATTTATTTTTGAGAGAGAGAGAGACAGAGTGTGAGCAGGGGAGGGGCAGAGAGAGAGGGAGACACAGATTCGGGAGCAGGCTCCCAGCTCTGAGCTGTCAGCACAGAACCCGATGCGGGGCTCAAACCCATGAAACGCGAGATCATGACCTGAGCCGAAGTCGGACCCTTAACCGACTGAGCCACCCAGGTGCCCGAGAAGGTCATTTTTAATAAATCTGGCCCTTCTGCCTCATAAGATTCCTCAGACGGCCTCCTGGCCAGCTGGGCGATTAGCGGTGATCCGCCTTGTTGGCCAAGAGGGCTTTCTCAGAACATTATTTCTGCAAGGTACTGTATACAGCTGTGCTGATCAATACGTGTGCGATTTACATTTCAATGAATGAAAGTCAAATAAAATTACAAATTCAGTTCCTCAGTCACACCACATTTCAGGTGCTCGGTAGCCACATGGGGTCTATATTAATGCAGATATAGAACATTTCCATCACTGCAGAAAGTTCTGGGCAGTGCTGTCCAAGAACAAAGGGCGCTGTGGATAAAAGGATTTGCCCCCTAGATATTCCAGTTGGATTTTAAAGGCTCTGACAAGTCCTGCAACAAGAAACTGGTCTCAGCTGGAGCCCACTGCTCCAAATTAACTCACCCACAAGCCTTCTTACCACCTATAAACAGCTCCGCTCGTCCCTAAACACACCCAGTGAACTGCCTTCCGGTTCCCAAGCGTCTGTGGCCTATGGAGTTCCTGAATCTCCTCCTTGTTGGGAATCTGAATCTCTCTTCTGGTTTTGTCCCCAGATTGCCTCGGGTCCCCAGTGTTTACTCCCATCAAGGCAGACATAAGTGGCAACATCACGGTATGTACTTGGCCCAGCAGCCACAGCCCGGAACCTCCACTGGGACTGTGAACCTGCATTAGTCACCAGTGCCCTGCTCCTGGCCGCAGGCTCCCCAGGTTGAGGAACAGGAAGGAGACATGGAAAACAGGCTTGGCCCCCAGGTCATCTGGCCCAGGGCTCTTGGTGCTCCTTTGAAATCATATACCCCGCAGTCACAGCCTGACGGGGATGATCATCTGAAGGGTTGACCTGGGAAGGAACCTCCTGGTTCTTGTATCCACCCCGACCAAATAAGAAGTAAACTCCAAAGTCCACGGGTGCATTGGCTCGGCCCTTCCCCCCTCCCCATTCCTGGGTCATCCCCTGGACTGCCGTCACCCAGCCACTGCCCTTCTCCCCGTGAGGATCCACGTACGGCCTGGCCTGCCGCTTGGCCACGCTGGGTTGTCTCATTTTGTCAGCCCAGCGGCCCTTTGAGGCTGGTCTGTCATTATCCCCATTTTACAGATGAGGAAGCCGGGGCTCAGCGGGGTGGAAGGGCTCACCTAAGGTCACACAGCAAGGAAGGAGCGGAGGTGGGATTCAGATCCAAAGTGCCTGGCTCCGATTCAGGAGCCTTGTTCCCGGGCATCTTTGAATCCCAAAGCGACCGTCCACTTCCGATGCTCAGGGTCTGAGGTGCCATCGATCGTGGTTGGAGAGCATGGACCCTGGAACCGGTCTATGGCGGATCCCGCTGCCAGCTATCCCTTCCCCTGTCTGAGCCTCGCTTTCCCCACTGCAAATGGGGATCATGACAGCAACATCAGGATCACTGGGAGGATCCAGTAGAGCAGCGCCCATGAAGGGCTTTGCCAACCCTCCCGGCTCACGGAAGGTGCTCGGTAAACGTGAACAGTCATGGTAGTTGCTGTCATGTAGTTACTGGCACAAGCCCCTGCTGCTGGTGCTGGCGCGGGTGGGAAGGAGAGGGGTGCTCCCCGACCAGGCGTGGGGGCCGTCCGTCCGTGGGGACGACCTTTCCAAGGGAGAACCCCGTGTGCTCTGTTTCAGAAAATCAAAGCCGTGTACGACAGCAACCCGGCCAAATTCCGGACCCTGCAGAACATCCTGGAGGTGGAGAAGGAGATGTACGGAGCAGAGTGGCCCAAAGTGGGAGCCACGCTGGCGCTGATGTGGCTGAAAAGGTGATGGGCTTGGGGGGCAGGGCGTGTGTGGCCGTGCAGCCCCGGGGGCCCTGCTCTGCAGACTAGGAGTGTCCAACCCTACCGTTGCCCTCCGAGGCCACCCCCGTTCCTTTCACGTGTGTGAAATGCTGAGAAAAAGTGCCCAAAGGGCCAAGGCCCCCCTGCTGGTGATGCTCCCTTGTTCCAGTCCCATCAGAGGCATAGCAAGTGAGTGCCTACTCTAGACGTCGTTCTAATCGTTTTTTACGCCTGATCGTATTTCGTGTGCTGTGAGTTAGGTGTGGTGATCATCCCCATCTCACAGGGGGAGGCCACTGGGGCTCTGGAGGCCAAATAATGTGCCCAGGTCACAGGGTCAGAGCTGGACCCCAATGGCCAAGCACAGTCGTGCAGGTTGTACACTGCACAAAGGTGTCCTATCTAGGGCTGGTTGCATCATGCACGTGCCAGGTTTGACTTTATGAGAGCTTCTTGACAGGAATACAGCGTCTTGAGGAGAAGGCACTCTCTCTGATTTGCACAGAATTGTCCCATG